ATTGTGTTTAATTTCCAAAAAAGTTATGTTTCTTTTTCCCTTATACAGCTGCATTTCCACCACTCTTCTCATACTTATTCATGATGAGGTCATTTGTGGGGATCATCACAGTCAATAAAGATTCTCACATGTGACTTAGGGATAGCCCTGGGTCCTCTTAGCTGGGTGTGGGTGGTGAGTAACACAATAAAGGGACCAAGGCTTCAGGAGATTGATGGGAGCACATTGTCACCAGAGAAGGAAGACAAGGGCAGTCACAACACCTGACTGTAGTCGTCACCTCACAGAGCCCACCCTCATAGCCCCAGCTGCTCCAACATCTGTAAGGCAAGGAGAGCATGGCCCGGGTGACTGGGGCAGGCAGGCAGACAGCTGCTGCTGAATAAACTTCACGTGTTAGACAAGTGGTTGTTTGAGTCCTATACCACAGGGTGCACCTCTAATCTCTACTTCTCTGTTTTGTACATACACACATACACACACACACAAGCAGTATTTTGGTTGACCTGCCTGTTTATATATAAGTACACTTTGCCTAGCTGCTTGCACCTATCATTACAGAAAAATTTTTAATTTACAATTATGATTTAGCACACAGTAAGCCCCTGCATGACACAGCACCATAATCCATCTAACAAAACTCAATTCTGACTGCAAAAGGGATACAAGAACTCATTGATTAATTCAGGCAAAGCCCAAAGTGTATGTGAGAAAAGATTTTACTCTTTTCTTCCATATCATTCTTTCCTCAAGACCATAAATCTCTGAGCATTGACTTTCTATCTTTGGAAAGTGAACATCATCTGAGACAGCATATAAATCACCTTGAGAACAGTTATTCATCGCGGGCAAATAAAAATGTAAGCCAGCCAGATGGTGAAAAGCTCATTTCTACTGGTATAATTTCACAGGACTAGGCAGGTAAGGGGGAAAATGGAGGGAGTTGTGAAATTTGGGGCCATTTATAGGATGGCAATAAATACCCCAAACAACCCCATATCTACAATCTCTTCACCTCTGGTTCAAATAAATATGACCCTCCCCCTTCACGGTAACAGGAATGACAGGAAGGCAAAGAGAAAAGAAGGAAGAAGAAACATACTAAACTCTGGAGTGTTTTAAGCCCTTTTCATTCACCAGTTTGAAAGCATTTAATCCTTTGAGTACTTCTGGGGTATAGGAGAGACTACACTGCTTGGTGTTGGTATTTTTCATATGACTCCAGGTCACAACTGGTGAATCCAAGGTGAATACCTCCCCAACACTCTGGCAGGTGTTTATGTCACAAAGCTGGACTGGTGGCAGGGGGGCAGGGAAGGGAGAGGGTGACCGCTCCTAAGGCTACACCCAAAGACTAGCTTATTCCAGTGCTGAAACCCATTAAAAGAACACACCCTCTGGCCCTTATTATTTGGGACCTCCTCCCATTAGTCCACCTCTTTTATAAAACCAACACCCAGTCAAGAAAAGAGAAACTTATTGTCACCCACAAAAAGGAATGAGGAAGTAGAACAGAAATGAGATGGAAAGAGCAGCATGAACTGAACTGAGCGCCCAGCATGACATGGGAGACTCGGCCATGATGCCGTGTGATAGGAGAGCACAATGGCGCTGCCGGAAACCAGTTCAAGAGCCCTTGAAACACACACATAAGTCTTAGTACATGATGGTTATGTTGGCTGTTGACCTATTAAGAAAGGAGGGCAGGGCCTCGCTGGTGGCGCAGGGGTTAAGACGCAACCTATGAATATATCCTCAGCCACTGCAGCAAGAGTTCAATCCCTGGCCAGAGAGCTACCCACATGGCACAGCAGACCTCCCCTGTCTCGCCCGCTGCTCCCCTCAGCAGTGTACTTCGGTCAATCTGCCTGTTCTGTTCCCCACTCTGTCTCTGGTGAATCCTCTCATCCCACGCACCTCTGGCCTGTACCCCAGCTCTTGTATACATAAATAAATTTTTAAAAAAAAGAAAGAAAGGAAGGCAGAAAAATCCTTACTTTGCAAGACAGAAAGGAGCTCTTAGCAGTGGGAGGTACAAAGACAATAGCAGATTAGAGAACCACAGAAACACATCTTCACACGGCCTGCCACCTCACAGATGGCTGACTTAATTGCTAAGGGCCACAGGCAGACCTGCAGCAACACACCACTGGGACCTACACAGTCTTGGCATCCCAATCTGGAAATATCACTGCTTAACTACCATTTCTCTTACTTCTAATCTCAGATATCAAAATAATCACAACAACTGTGAAAGCTTTGTCCAGAATAAAACACCATAGGCTATGTGGTTTAAACAATAGGAATTTGTTTTCTCACGGTTCCAGAGGCTGGACATCTGAGATTTGTCATCATGATCAGGTTCTAATGAGATCTCTCTTGCTGGTTTTCAGACAGCCACCTTCTTGCTGTATCTTCACAAAGCAAAAAGAGAGAAAGAGAGAGAGAGAGTGCTATTTCTCTCTTCCTCTTTTTGTAAGACTGCAGTCTTACTGGAAAAGCACCCTATTCTTAGGACCTCATTTAACCATAATTACCTAAAGGCCTGCCTTCCAGAAACAGTCACATCAGAGGTCAGGGCTTCAACATACGAACTTGGGGAGGGACACAAGTCAGTTCATTGTGCTAGGTTATGAAGATCTGTTAAATAAGGAATCCTCCAGTCAATGCTCAGTACACAGTATAGCTCAGTTAATGTTTGGTGAATAAATAACTGAGCAGGAGATAATTACTGTCATAGCACACTGGGACACAAATTCATGCAGGAGCACTGTATTTCCAAGCACAAGTAACAACCTGGACCCTTCCAATTTTTAATAATACTGATGGACTCACAGGCAGGAAGCATGTCATCTACTTTTGCCTAATGGATGAAGGTCTACTTTCCCTCCAGAGTAATAGCCAGGTAAAAAAAAAAAATCAAGATCCTCAAGTCACTATCATTCTGACAGTGTTAGATCCAAGATGGCTGTCCTAGTGGAGCTTCTAAGAGATTATGATAGAAGTCCCACACATATGCATCGCGACTTGTATCTACTAGAGTCAAAGCCAATGACTAGAAATGGACCATTAGAAGGCAAGTCTTTTGCCTTGAGAGGTCCACATACTGGCCATTAATGAGTCTTTTCTTCACAACAGCTTGTGTAACTCATACATTCCCCAACAGGTTAAATTTACTTCCAGAACACCCAGGGAAGAGCAAGGGATAGAGATGAGGAAAAGGGAGGAGCATGTCCTTTAGTCAGGAACCGTACAAGTGTACCTTACCATCCACATCCACTTGTTCATCAGATACATAGTGTCTACTATGTGCTTTCCTAAATATTTTAGAATATTTAAAGAAGAATTAGAGATGGGGAGCTAGCCTAGAGGAATCTGGCCTATAAGATAAAATTGTCAGATTAGAAGTCTTAAGGAAGCTGAAGATAAATACTGCATGTTCTTGGGGAGGTTTGGGGGTCTCGCTAACGCTACTTGTTACTGCCCAAAGGCTGTTCCCCTCTTCTGCCTTGCTAATAGAAAACCAAGTTTGGATTCTCTAAGTCTTGAGAACCCTTTGATTCATGTCTTCCAAAGTCATGGAGGGTAACTGATGATTACTGTAAAAACAATTCAATAAAGTGATTTTGAATAATTGTAAGTCAGTGATAACTATATCACTCCTTGGTGAAATGACTGACAACAAAGAAATACGTGTCTAATACTTTAAACAAACCTATGCATTTGAAATTTTATGTTAAAAATATATAATGGATGAAAATAACATATTGCATATTACCTTCTTTCAAAAAAATCTATCACCATCCCATCCCTGATTTACACACTCGGTAAAGAACTACCTGGATAACTTGTGTATCATGGTGATCAAGAATAAAGAGATAATAAAAATAGACTGAGGGGATTATACTGGCTAGGCCTCAATTTGAGTGTCTGGAGGATTTCAAATTGATATTTTTATATGCTTTAAGTGGTTCAAAAGTTCACTACTAAAATGACAATTCAACCAAGGGCATGAAAATTCTTGAGGCAAAATTCAGCTGAATCTTTTCTATCCGTCCCCTTCCTTTATTTGTAAAACAATTTTCCTCCCTTGGGAAAGTGGGGAGATATAGGACATGCTTACTTGAAAATTCAACTCTGCTGTTTTCTAACTGAAGTCTATTGGGCAAATTTTTGTACTGATTTAGTGTTCAGCACTTAGAGACATTATGGGGTGTCCTTCTAAAACCTGCCAGGTTTGGGGGACCTACAGGGTGTGATCACTTGATAGCATTGTTGCCACTGCAATTTAGAAAACCAACCAGGCAAAGCCTCTAATGGAGCAATCAGCTCGGGTTAACAGGGGCTGACAGCATGCTCTCGAGACGTGGGCTTAGGGTCTCCAGCGGAGGGGGATAGTGCTGATTCTCCGTCTTAACCCTCCAGGCCAGCAGTAGGTGTCTGGGCACCAAATATTTATTTCAAATGATTAACAATATTTCCAAGTACTTTTCTTTTTCTATTTTATCTATGGGGGAATTCGAGGATGTTTTCAAACTGGTCAATGAATAAACTCCAATGGGAACAAACTAATCAACACCACCAAGGCGTGAACTCCTGATAAACACAGCATGGATGAATCTCAAATGCATTATGCTAAACAAAAGAAGCCAGATGAAAAACGCTCCACACAGCAGGATTTTATTTATATGACATTCTGGACAACGCAAAACTATGGGGGCAGTTGCCAAAGACTAGAGGAAGGAGTTGACCATAAAGGACACAAGGGATCTGGATACCTTCTGCAACTCTTCTATACTTTGATTTATTAAAAACTGATAAAATTGCATTTTAAAGGGTAAATATTATTTATTAAATTTACTTTAATAAAATTTTACCTCAAGAAAAATTAAGGCTTTGTCCCTCAGTGCTTCCTCCAGAAAGGTGGGCTATTGTGGTCACACGTGAGCACTGTCATTCAGGATGGTCTCCTGTTGCTCTCTGTGTTTCTATTACAACAGGCAGACAAGTCACCATGCAGAGCAGAGAACAGAAATCACTCCAGCTACTTCACTCAGAAAGGCAGCACTTGATGGGAATTTGGTGTTTACAGAATCACTACAAGGTCTGGGGGAACAAAAGTCCCCTCTAGACTTTCGAATTCAAAGAAACACCACTGCAAGGTAGGTATGCATAGCCCAAAAGTTGGGGAGCTGCTGCTACTGCCACAAACACAGCTTCACACACCTGTGCAGGTAGGGGTGAAGGCCCTAGAACAATGAGGCCACTGCACTGCCGCCAAATACCTCCAAGGTCTTTCCCGCTAGCAGCATCAGCATAATGACCTTGGTCTCCAGCTTAGATTTCCACATCTCACACAATTGCATTTATGAAACCTGTTGTGCACTTAAGAGACCTAGCAGTAAGAATGTCTGCGACATAAGGTGTTAGTGAGGTGTTCAGTCAGGAGGGTGGAATGAAGGTTCACAGTGCGTCCCCAATCATTATGCTTCCTGTCCTAAAACAAGGTAGTCTTCAATGAAGACAGCATAAGCTTAAATTTCAAAAGCTGTTAGAGTTGAAAAATTATTCTACAAAGGGGTAAAACCAAGATTATAACTCATTTCATTATGGAAGACTACTCCACGTTTACGTTTACTTAAATCTAGCCCCAGTACAATAAAAATTTTAAAATCATTGTATTTGATAACACTGCCAGCCACAGTTCTAACTCATGTAATTAAATACTTACTGGTCTTTAAGTTTTATTTGGCTGAGAATTAAATAGATTAAGTTTGAAAATGCATTATTTTTCTAGGTAGCTGTAAGTTATTTTATGGCAAGCCAGAGCTAGAAGAGGGGAGTGTGACACTGTGATTAATAATAAAAAATATATATTTGGTTTTCACTCCCATTTCTTGCACAAAGCTCCTAACATCCTTGGAATTTCCTAGGAAAAGAGAGAAAGAGTTGTCTTTTGTTATGTGATTTGGGAAAGTCCCCAGGTATTTAAGGAAGGGCCAGTTGTGACAGAGGATTAGAACTTTCACTCCCACTCACAGAACTCAGGCTGGAGACTGGGTTTAATCACCAATGGGCAAAGGTTTAATCAAGGGTAGCCAGGCAGTGAAACCTCTACAAAAACCCAAAAGAACAGCTTTTGGAGAGCTTCTAGGTTGCTGAACAGGTAGAGGTGCTGGGAGAGGGGTCCTGGAAGCATGCGGAAGCTTCATGTCCCTTTCCCCATTATCTTCCTCCGCGTCTCCTCCATCTGTTGTTGAATTATATTCTTTTATAATAAACTGGTAAATGTTTCTCTGAATTCTGTGAGTCACTCCAGCAAATTAATCAAACCCAAGGAGAGGGGCATAGGAACCTTCAATCTAAAATTGGTAGGTGAGAAGAACAGACTTGGACAGGTGTCTGAAGTGCAGGGACAGGACTAGCTCACAGTCCGTGGGACTGAGTCCTCCAACCTGAGGGATCTAACACCACCTCCACGCAGTGTCAGCACTGAGTTAGACTGTAGGACACCCTGGTCAGCATCTGATGAGAAGGGAGTGAGTAAACTGCCTGGTGGGATAAAAACAAAAAACAAAAAACAAAAAAAAAACACACACCTGGGCGGGAAGTACCTTTTACACCCTGATTATAGCTCTGAAAGACCTAACGTCATCTAAACAATAAAACATAAGAAAATAAGTTTACATAGCTAAAGTACCACAATAACCATAATTCTTAAAATTAGCTCCCAACAATCACTCACACAGTAACCTATATTCTCTATGTCAAAGGGAATTTTGTAAGGAATTTTTAGCCCTTAGGAACTGCACTTTAATCCATCTTGGGTGATTTCTTCCAACTGTACAAAAGAGGAACAAAGGAAACATTTTCCTTTTTCTGACAGGAAAACTACTGGGTGGATGTTGCTGGCTTCCTCAATTCTTAAAAGATAGAAAAATGTGACAAAGCAAAATGGCCTAAAATAAAAATAGCTTGTTTGGGTCACAAGAATCACCTACCACAGTTGTCACTGAAAAAATGAGGGGAGTCTCTGCAGAAAACGCTACTGCTACCTTCTCAGAAAACCATCAAAACACCATCACACGCTGAAAGTCCCTCACTATATAAGGAATTATCAAATGATACCAAAGATTGCTCTCCCCAAAGAAATAAGGGCAAATGTGACAACCGGGGGTTAGTGATTGCTCCTAAATGAAGGAAACAGTTCTCCTTAGGTCTCCTTCACAGTCTTTTTCAAATGTTGACCCCACGGAGCTAATTTTTTTTATTATTATTAAATATAGTTAAACATATGTATATTTTACATCATTGTTCATTTTTGTACAATGTTTAATTTCTCTTCTCAGGTGTAATCCCCATAAAATTCCCACCACCAAGTCTACTTCTTATGGACAACTACCTGCTTTTACCAATACTACTAATAAAGCAAATGGGCAACAATTTGGCAAAAAGAACAGATCTGGCCTCTCAAACTTCAGGATTTAAGGAACCTCTATGGGGAAAAGCAGAAAATACACTAAAATGGATTCACAGGATGAGGAAGAACACCACTTATCACCCTAACAGCTAAGCTTATTAGGCTATAACCTTTGTTAGGTTTTGCCCTAGAATGCTGCTGGGAATGAGCATCTACAAAAATATTACTAAAGATCTAATAACTTACTTCTCAATTTCTCTCTAGAGCAAAACTTTAAATATGCTTATCACCATATGAACCCCCCAAAGATTCTTTTCCAAGGGAGTGAAGAGTGAAAGGGATTGTATGAGCAGCTAAGCACCCATCTCTGAAAGCTGTCCCACCCTATCCCTTGGAAGAACAATAGGACACTGGGGCTCCTATTATCCCCTTTGTTTTCAACTTACCTTCCAATTCACCTACACATTAGCTGCAAATGCTTTCAACCTGAAATTCATTATATAGGCAGAGGCAATGGCCTTTCAGACATTCACATCTCCTCTCAGATTCATACCCAGCAGAGGCACCTTACAGATGCTAGTGAAATATCTGCAGACAGACTGATACTGTCCCTATCGGTGCTGAGCTACCCAGTCACCGCCAGAGACTATCATCACATAAAGCATGGAGGAAAGTTTCCATTCATAACCCAAGCCATTTGATCAAAGAAGCTGCCCTAGGGATTTCAACCTCACAAAACAGATTTTATGAGCATTCCACAATTTCAGACTAAAGTGATTTCAATTAAAATTAAGAACAACCTCTAACAACAGATGGTTGAAGGAGGTCTCAGCTCAGGTCACAAGATCATGTTGACGGGACAAGTACATCAAAAGAAAAAACGAAAACTCACTCATGACACAAAGAAAAATTGACAAAGGAAAAGGCTGCATTTGGCTTCCTTCCAGCTGCCACTCAGAGGCACAGTCAGGAAAGTCGTGTGGGCAGGAGACAGAGTCCTGAGAGACTGCGGGAGGCCTGGCTGATGTCAGGATCTGCAGGGGCAGCCCCCTCCCTGACCGGGCAGGGCAGGTGTCCCCTGCAACCTGGACCTGGCTGCAGTGCAGTGCCCAGAGTCTCAGCCACTGCCCCGCGGCCCCTGACCCGGGTCTGTAGCATGCAGGATCGAGCGTGTGAGGCAGGAGTTATGTCAGCACAAACCACATGAAGAAGCCATTATTCAGGGGAGCCATAATATATTGTAACTGCTCCCATCATGTCAATAGGCATCATTTTAATGGGTGTGCTAGGATTTCTCCCACTTGAAGTGAAAATGACTCCCATTTCAAGGAGAATAGGAGAGTCTTCATTGGTAGGGTTACAATTCACCCACAGCAGCTGCCAGACACAAGAAGAGAAGTGCCGGGTGTGCACAGAGCTGTGCTCCAGTTTATAATTTGTCTCCTCTTAAAACAGAGATGAGCAAGTTACAAATATAATTACTGTATATCTGAACAAGCGATAACACAAGCCACAGAAGAGCTACGAGAAGACTGCTGGCTTACCTCTGGCTCTGGCGGTAAGGTTTGCTCGTCTTCGGCGGAGTTTGGTAAGATTGCCCAGGTTATGTTGGCACTGGCTGATGGCAAAGAGCCAAATGTCCCATTTTTCAGCTGTTCTGTGGAATGTGACTTGGGCCCGTGCCATCCCAGGATGTTTTCTGAAATAAAGACTTAGAATGATGCCAAGTATTTTCCAAATTAAACATTTATAGGTCAAGAATGACTTGCACCTCCCTATATAAGGAGACCAACTTAAAATCGGTCCAATTTTAGGTGATGGTGGACTTAAGGGGGCTTGTTTTGAATGTGGTACCAAGTATAGGGAGTCTCAGTGGTGGACAGGTGATGTGCACTGGGGTCTGAAAGCATCTTTGTAAAAATGTTAAGCACAGCAGAAGGAAGAAGACACCTAGCAGGAAAGCCGTGAAGGGTCCACATAGCAATTTCACCTATTGGACACTTTTTGCCAAATTGCAAAATAGGAGGACCAATACAACTGGGTTAGGAACTGACATTCCCCGCAAATTGCGTAAGAGAATGAAAAAGTGATTGGAAGGACAAGTTAAGAAAAGCACTCTAAACCTGCTCTGGTTCTCTTCACTTCAATCATGTATCGCTTGATCTTTTGCTCTCATTTATGCCGAAGGACATGTCTTGCCCACTGCAATTCCCCGAGGCTCTGCTGTCCTCATGCAAACAGCCCTTAGTCCAGTTTTCTTTCTCAATGTGGCTTACACCAATCACTCTTTGCCAACACCCAGCTCTTACCTGACTCTAAAGTGCTTGTCTGTTTGCACATGTCTGCCTTGACCATGACCTGGATAAAGGCCTATAAGTAAAAAACTAACCCCAATGCTAGACAACACAGTACATAGTACTGTGCCCCAAAATCACTTTAAAGGTTCAATTTCTTGCCCACACTATTAACCCATCCATAGGCCAGAATCCCAAGGAGCCTGGCCCTTGCCAATTCTGAGGATGGTCCCCCCTGTATTATTGACAAACATGTAGAAGTAGGCATCCAGACTGAGGAAAACAAATACCCTCTGATCCTACACCCCTCACCCCAATGATTTGCCTACATCAAACATTTCCAACAGATTTAGTAGTCACCGGAAACAGAAGAGGACTGCATCGTACAAGCCTTGGCCAAAAAGTCAAGTTACTTTAGTTGTCATTACAAACATCTCCAGAAACAAGTTAAAGGAAGCATTTCTGCCCACTGTGGGTTTTGTTTTGTTTTTTTGTTTTGTTTTGGTTTTGGTTTCTTATTTTCTCGTGTATGTGCTGTGTATTCACAATCCACTGTATCTTAGAAATAACATCAGGTATCAGTGTAGGAGGCCAAAAAGTACAGGTGAGAAGCAGATGGATACTAAAGTAATTTTCAGATTTCAGTTCAATTGTTCAATGTGCTTGAAACTAAATAAGCATTAGGGAACAACAGTGGTAGGCATATGCTCCAAAAACATATTCCCTAACAGATACAATGAAATAAATGCTGCAGGAGATGAAATGCTACAAGACCGCAAATTAATTTTTGATCCAGCAAAAAGGCAGCAGGGAAAAAAAAACAACCACCACCCAGTTGTAAGGGTCAGAAAACAAAGAGACTTTCAGCAGCAACAAAGGATAGGTGGTATGCTGTGGGGAGTCTAGACCTCCCTGCCCACTAAACATTTAAAGGGAACCCTGACTGACTTCCACTTTAATGAGATCTTGATTTCCATCAAGTCAGCAGGGCACTTCTTAGATATAACCATTATGTTTTCATCGCTGGGAGTCAGGCGATAGCTGCTATCAGCACCAAGAGCCCTGCTATTTTAAACAAATGAATCTTGTTGTGATACCCCACGCTCTTATTTCACTAACTTGAGATTCTGGAATTCTGTTTTAACAGTAGGCAGCTATGATGTTTTGAATGCAGCAAGTGAATTTTTTGTTTTCCCCAACAAGATTTAAAAGATACATGCAGAGTGTTATAAAACTTAAGGTTCTGTGTCATATGGAACATAACTATTGAAAGAGCTAAGAAGCCAAGGAAACGAAATAACCACTGTGGTTTTCTAACTCCCCACCAGGGCACTGTGTGAGGTTGATTGTGCTCCTAGCCATCTCTGCTCAGAAGCCTTTCAGGATCACGTGATCCCGTGACCAAGAAACAAAAGGACAATCACTCCTTTTTCCAATGGATTTGGAATAAAACTGGTACCACTCCAGGAGAAGACCCTGAAGGACCGAGGAATGGCACGAGACAGCAATTAATTGTATTTATGCTGTAATGAGATCATTAGCATCTTGCCGTAGATGCTGAAAATATACTACTACTTATTTGAACAAGTTTTAGGGAAAAGTTAGGTTAGTTCAGTAATGTGTGAGGTGTTTGTTTGAAAAATAAAATAACCACTGATGCTTCATGCTCCCTAGTCTCCAACCTTTAGTCAAGTTCCATGATTTAAAATGGCTGACAGGGGCCTCCCTTGGTGGCACAGCAGTTGAGCGCTGGGCTGCAAAGCTGCCCGCAGCCTCTGCAGCACCAGTTTCATCCCCGGCTGCTGGCGAGGGTCCCACATGGCGCGTAGACCTCTCCTGCTGCCCGCTGCTCCCCTCAGCAGTGTCCTCCGTCAGTCTGCCTGTTCTTGCTCCCCGCTCTGGTGGATTCTCTCACCCTCACTGCACTTCTGACTGTACCCAGTGCTTGTATAAATAAATAAATAAATCTTTTTTAAAAAAATAAAAAATAAAAATAAAATGGCTGACAGGAAGGAAGGACTGACAAATGTGTGGGGTGAGGGGCACAGCTGAGAAGGCACGCAGGTGCTAATACTATATATATCAGGGACACTGCTCATTCTCCCCTCCTCCCAAGGAGTTTCCATTTCCAACTGTGGTCACCACATCTGAAATTTCATCACTGAGTGTTCTCCCTCCAAGCCCTGAAAACCACCAGAGAACCAGTGAAAATCAGGTGGGGAAATACAAGTTTTCTAGAAACCAGTCCTAAAGAAAGGTCTAAGGGATTGATTTTAGGAATAATAAAATGGTTCAAGCTCATGCTCACCAGTGGAAGAGTCTTGGGAAGAGCCCATTAGGTTGCAGAGGTTAGAAGTGAAGAGTTAGAAATGAGAGACCACAGAATCCTCAAAAGTCTGACTGTGAATTTGTCCCCGAGCCCCTTCGGGTCCCCTGGGCTCCATCCAGTCAGGAAAAGTCAAGGAGCCTCCTGGGGCTTCAGCATTAGAGTTTCATTTTTTACATTGAGAAGGAAGAAAAAGTCAACTTAGGTGTCTTCACTCTGAGGCTGAACACGCACACAACCTAGACTGGATCCTGAACCAGACTTCTTTTTCCTTTTGTTACAAAGGACATTGACAGGGTGGCTGGAGAAAGTCAGTAAGGTGGACTGTGTTAACGTCCTGATTCTGATCACTGGGCTGTCATTAGATAGGAGCATGTCCTTTTTTCAAGGGAATACACACTGAAGTATTTAAGAGCAAAGACTTAACATATCTGCAAGTTACTCTGAAGTAGTTAGCAAATTACAATGTTTATAAAGAGAAAAAAAATGATGCGAATATAAAAAAATAACATTTGGAAACTGATGAATGAGAATTTTTCATACTATGTTAGTACCTTTTCTGGATGCCTAAATAACTCACAAATGAAAAAGAAAACAAGGTAAACACTTATCTGCTCTAAGAAAATTATGACGTGAACAAGACAATGTCCTTGGCTCTACTTTGGGGGACCCAGAGGCTGGTGGGTCGTCTACACTGGATTGAACTAAGAACCCCAAGAAGAGAGAGGCATCTGCCACAAAAAAGCCCATCTCTGGCCTCGGGCGAGTCATCTAACTGCTGAGTTTCGGGGTCTCATCTACGTGAGGGGCTCAGTACCTACTTTATGAAGATTCCAGAAAATGTGTTGCAAAGGCCAAACGCTGGAAGAATCAGGGCTCAGTGAATGATGGTGGGTATTTAGAAAGAGACCCAAGTTACCCACACACTGGGTACCACTGTGGAAAACCAACACCCCTTTTCATCTCAGTGACAGAGGGTAAGGTCAACACAAGAAAGCACGAACCACGGACAATCACTCTCAACCTAGCTTTACTTTCATCACCCAAGTTGCCTTGTTTCCTCATTAATTAAGTGACCCCCAGGCAACAAAGCTCAATGAAGCTTCTGTTCATCTATTAATGCTAATGCTTTACAATTATATATAACAATGAACCTCAAGCTATTTTCACCTTTATCGTTGAATTTAATCTTCACTAATATCTTGATATCCGCTTATTGATTAAACCCTTCTCCAAAAGGATTGCAGCATCTCAAGGGAGTATATCATTATCTCTAGATCCTTGAAAAAGAACTAGAAATGCTTCTGGTGTGTCTTCCAGAGAAATCCCCCCAGCTCCATGTGGGAGCCTCAGGAGGATGGTGGCTGTAAGAGTGAGAGGGCAGAAGGCAAAGGGCATGTCCCTCACAGAGCATCAGCTAGAAGATAGCAGACACACACCACAGGTGTAGTTAGATGCTGCACAGCAATGGATTTTAAAAGCAGAGCCTGGAGCACAATCACAAATGGAACAAGATCCAGAACACACTGCCTCGAAGTCCAAAGGAGCTCCAGAATACCTCAGGGGCACATGTTCAAGTTGTCATAGGATGTTATATTTCTCACTGGTTTAAAAAAAAAAAGTAATCCCAAACTGCACAAAGAAGGAGGGAGGAAAACATGGAGCAACACTGGAGCACAAGGATGGATGGATGGATGGATGGATGGATGGATGGATGGATGGATGGCTCGATCAATCGATGGATCAACTGACAGATAGATCTAAGGGAGGAAGGCCATGGGACACACACACTCATGGGCAAACCCAGACTGGAGGGTCTTACCTGAGGCTCCTGACTTGAGGCTAGGCTGGCCCACCTGGTGCACACTCTGCTGTAGCAGGTTCAGGCACTCGCCCAGGCAGCTGAGGGTGGCAGCAGAGGTAGCTTTCAGGAGCAGCAGATCCTGGTCCAAGGCTGTGAGTGGGCCAGAGCCTGGTAGGGACTCGATGGCATGCACAAGATTCTTCTGCTGTCCTTCCACCTGGCTCATCATCTACAAAACAAGAAAACAGCAGGGAAGTGAGTGAGAAGGCCTCTTTTCAGTAGGCTTGTGAGCTGGAACTGGAGCCATGGGGCTCGAGGAAAATGATGAAATACTGTCATCCTGACATGAGTGAAGGTGAGTCAGTTCAGATGGTCTCGTGCACATTGGTCCTCAAACCATGCGGGTTGCATGCCATGTGTCTGGGTCCATCCACCCAAAGGCACACACATCTGCAGCTCTAATGGAAAGAATCTTAGAACTTCAGAGTTGAAAGGGACCATTAGCGCATCAGAGTGTATCATTTACAGAACTTCTGAAGGCAAGTCACCAACAAACACACTAAAGGTAGAAGTCCTTGTGATCATCTTTAAGGTTCTTCTCTCATGGAAGGTTGTCTGAGACAGCAAATACATGGTGGCTTTTCCTCAGAGCAAGGGAAATTCCTTGCTTTTTTTTTTTTTTTTCAGGATAGACTATAGCTTTTTAATGCCTTTGCATGTCTTTCTGTGTTTCTCATATTTCAATGGCATCTTCTTTTTTTTTTAAGTAATTTTTTTTTATTTTTATATTCCCCATATGATTGCACCCCCATCATTTTGACCAATCCCTCCTTCCCCCCCCACCCATAGTGTGTCTCTGGTTCATAGCTGTTTGTTGATTTTGACTTTTTCTTTCTTATAGTTATTCTTTTTCCTGGTCCCTTATTTAGGTTTTCTAGATTCCTGCTATGAGTGAGACCATCCGGTATTTTTCTTTTTCTTTCTGGCTTATTTCGCTGAGCATGAGCCCTTCCAGCTCCATCCATGTTGCTGCAAATTGCATGAGTTTATCTTTTTTGATTGCTGACTGATTGCTAATTTGATTGATTGCTAATATTCCATGGTGTATATGTACCACATCTTCTTGATCCAGTCATCTATTATTGGGCATTTGGGTTGTTTCCATATCTTAGCTATTGTAAATAGTGCTGCTATAAATATAGGAGTGCTTTCCCTCCAGCTTCAACCCCTAACTTCCTGGCAGTCTGATTTGAAGTTTGAGAAACAAAAGTGAAATCTGGGGCTGGTGTTTGTGCAAAGGAGGTGCCAGTGAATCTGGTGCCAAACTCCTCCACCCCCTAACTGCTGGAAAGGATATGATTTTCTTAACATCATGTGAAATGCCAGGAGTGAGGAAAACCAAGGATTCCAAAGCCAGCCCCAGATAAGCAGCAGTCTAATTCGACCTTAGAATTAACAAATTAGGAAGAAAGGAACTTTAGAACTAGAGACAGATTATCTTGTGTAATTCATCTCCCTCTTATTTTACAGCATATCTCACTAAACAAGGTAACATGTATAAAATGCATGTCTAAGAGTCATTTTGAAAAGAGGAAGCAAGTTGCCCACCCAAGGTCAAGGACCTACTTGGAATCAGACACAAGAACCAACACCTGTTCTGTAGACTCTGGTTCCTGTTCTGTAAGCCTCCCTCACAAAACCTGTTCTTAATTTGAAGCATTATCTCCTACTTTGTCATTGTCATCCCCAAAGGATCCTTGTAGCCCTCATGATGTCACCAGCTGGGGAGAAGCATTAAATCTGGAAGGAGCAGTGAATAAGAACACAAACCTCACTGCATGCTCGATCTTATTTTTCTTATTTCCTTTAAAAAATTAACCATTTTCTACCATTCTGTGTAGGTATTTCCTTTTGTAAAAAAGTAGCTCATCAATTGCAGTCCTACTTACCCAAATAGGTGCCATTACTCAAAATTTTTTTAATCAGTGTTAATAAATACATTAAGCAGATAAGGTCTGGAGCATTCTCACTTTAATGTGCACACCCACCCTCTGGGCATGAAAGCTGACTTTTGCAGATCATAACACCTCCCATTCTGCCTCCTAAAGCAGTGCCTGGAGTCAAACAGGGGTGGAGCTCAGTAAGTTTCATTTCCCCTTCAGGTGCTTGCTTAAAAATCACCTTCTCAGGAAAACTTTCTGATCCACCTAAATGCTTCTACAGCCCAACCTTTGCACTCCTATCCCCCTTACCAAATTTACTCTTCTCCACAGTATTCACTACCTTCCAATCTAACTAGTATTTACCTATTCATGCTCATTTGTAAGCAGAGATTATTCCATCTCTGTTGTTCACTACCTCCCAAATTACAGTAAGTATCCGTGGAATGAATGAATGAATGCCCCGTATCAGTCTTTCTTTCACTGACATGTAAGAGAATACACTAGTCTACAGAGATCATTATACTCAATTAGCATAATATGGCTGGAGACAGAGGATAGTAGAGGATAACACTTCCATTATCTGTTTAGGCTTACTAAGAAATACTGTCAATTGGCTAAATTTAACTTTCAAGAAGATGAAATGTTTATGTATTCCTTGACAGTTAAGTATATGTAGAACTGCTAGCAGCTAGGGAAAAGTGGATTTCCAGCTATTTGTCATAGTCAGTATTTCCATAATTTCCTACCATAAAATCTGGCCTTAAAAAAAGATGTGAGCACTGGGAAAAAGGAAGTATGATAAAATGTGTAATGTGTCATGTTCCTGACTATTAAAGTTGATGCCATAACATTTAAAGGAATAGGTGAGTAAAATCAATTCATTAACTATATGGAATATACTCATTTTTAATCAACAAAAAAGAATGAACTGTATTCTAATTATATAGTGTAGAATAAATACCTGTTATTCCCCAAACATAAATATTACGTAAATCTTGGGTAATACAAACACTGAACTGACTTACAGAATCTTCTATTACAACAGTGTCGCATGCCCAGACACTCCGTAAAGTATTCGACGGTACTGTCAAGAGCCCCCTGCCAGTGCCAGATCAGGACAACCTTTTAGAGGGGGCACTTGACACAGGCAGCGGGTGGATATGATGGTTACAGTGACTGAAGAGCTACTGACACTATGCGAGGGGTGGTCAGGAGTGCTAAACGCCTCTCCAATCTGGGCACAGACCCATTCCTGTTCAAAATGCCAACAGGGCCCCCTTGAGTAGACAGATTCAATAATCAGGCACAGGGTGGATTTTAACATCTTCCCTGGTAAACTGAGCACTAAAAAAGAAACAAGGCCAGCACAGTGCTTGATACACAACAGATACCTCCTAATGATTCATTTCACCCTCCTTTCCAAGTGATGTGAAGCAGAGTGCTCTTCTTTTATGACACAAACAGTGCCAATCTGCACCATCAGGCTCTAAAAGAAATTGAATAAACAAACAAAAAAAAAAAAACCCACAAGATTCCCAACCTCAGAGCTGTACATCAGTGTTATTACTTCTCCAATATTTCTAAGACTCGGAGGCACTGAAGAAGAGTCTGCATCAGACATTGGGAGAACACGTTTTAGTGATTTCCATATCTAATTTTAATTAAGGGCACACATGAGAAGACGACTATGGCACTGAAAAGCTGTACAAAATAAAAATGCCAACATCAGCTTCTTAAAGTGGCTCTTTCTCCCCCTCAAGGTCCCTGCTGGCTTATCAACGGGTGGACTCACCTACTGAGATCAGCCTTTGAAAAAGTTGAACCACTTACTTTAATTACTTAAGTTTTGAATCAGAGCTCTCAAGGCTTCTTCTCAAACACATAGACATGAATCATCTGTGGTTAAAAAAACAACAAAAGCATGAAGACGATTTCTTTCTGGCATTTGATTTCTACCATCAGAGGCATCATCATCTTGTAATACGGGTGCAGCATGGGATCCCAAAGGACATCTCAAGTTCTAGCCCCTGATAACATGAACTGAAGTGATAAAAGAGACTTAGTGTTAGTCTAGTTGAACTTCACAGAAAAGCAAACTTCACAGGGAAAGAAATTCTAGGGCCCATTTCTCACAGCACAAGTAAGCACATACGCATTTACAAAATGAAATCACAGGACTTGATGCTGACAAAATCAATGTAGGCAAACCAAAATGCAAAGACCAAACTCCAGTGACACCCAGTTCAACAAGGTTAGATCTGGCTAAGATTGAAGAGGGCAGCAAGGGGCTCCATTTGCCTTGGCTGTTTGACTGTTCTGAGCTGCAAATCTTGGTGCAGGTTTGGAGAGGTGCCAGAAAAGTCCAGTCCTAACATGCCAGCTATTGATGGACACCAGTTCAGTCATCCATTTATATCAAGGAATCAGCATCAAGCATCTCTGAACACAGATCTCCTACCCCAAAGTAACTAGGGTTTCTTGCCTTGGTCTGCAGAAACCTCCTGGGCTCACAGATTCCCTAGTACCTTCAGCCACTCAATCAATTTAGCTTGGACGTAGACCAAACAATTTCATGCCAACTTCAAAGAGGTCTTAGTTTGGCATTTCTCCTCAGTCTGGTGGAACTCTGGAGCCCTTTCTAAGTCTCTCCTCTCGGTCAGAAATCAATGTTTGGCCAATTTAGGCACTTTTTTCATTCAGCCAAAGTACTTAACCTAGGTTTAAAGCAACACATATACACCCACAGAACTCACAATCCCATCAACAGAAATGCACCATTCCACTACTCTCTTCAGCATTACTTGAATACTCCAGGAGACTACTACCCAAGAAATGGTTTGAGAGCTCATTACAGAAACTTCCTGAAACACATATCAACTAATAGAAACCACCAACAAACAACTTACACTCAAATACTTTGAATGCCTTGCCTCCAAATCCTTGCTTATTTCCACCAATCCTGAACTACTGGATCTTAATCTTCGGCTAATCCTAATCAAGTCTCTGTATTATAAACCAAAACATCTAATCCTCAACAAATCTGGATCTTGTTCTCCCCTCTAGAAGACACCCCCAGTGCCCTGTGGGGGTGGTGTTTTCTTTATAGAGTTGAACAATATAGGCATTTTGTCTTATCAACAGATTGTGCTGTCGATTTATGTTGAGTGTGTGATTTTGGAAAGCTGACATTCCAAACTTTAGTCTTTTTTTCAAATTGAGAGAACAGGGGCACAGTAAGTCCTGGCTTCACACCTGAATGATTTCTTCTTCTTGTTTAATTTCCCAC